CTCATATTTTTTAGCATAGATGAAGAAGATATGAAAAATTAAATACAAAATCCAGTTCTAAAATTATTTTTGTGATGGTAGTAGACTGAGTAAACAAACATAAAGATGGAATTAAGAAATTCGTATCTATTATCTATTATTTATCAAAACGATACAGCGATTCTACTCCCGGCAGGAGCAAAACCTTGTCAAAAATCCGGGCGATCTAGCGACTCACCTATAGGCCTTTTGCTGAGGGAGACTCCTTACTCCTTCAAGCAAGAATCCTTATAAAATAATGATGATTTTTAAAAAGAATTTTCTTTTTTGTTTTCCTGAATATTTTTCTGGAAATATAATCGTGTGGATTAAGTTCTTTCTATTTAGAATTTTTAGGAATTAGATTGAGAATAAAAAATTGCGTCTTTGAAACATTTTTTCATCAAATTCTTCTTCGCTAAATCCCTCTATTGTATTTTGCTTTTCCTCAAGAATAGAACTTATTTCTGGTTTTGCTGGTTCCGCTGATAATTAAGATGGTACTTTTTTTTCCCTGGGAGTTCCTTGAGGTTTCCATAAAATTGCATATGGGGTTCCATCATTATTCAGATTTTTCTACATATATATATATATATATATATATATATATTATGGAAATTATATCAAAAGAAATCTATTTAATAGAGCGTTTAATAGGATTCAACATCATTGAATCCTTTCTTGTTTCCACTATCAAGAAAGAAAGAAAGAAATTTGGAGAAAACATCTGTTCACCATGATAATTAAGATAAAATCTTCGTTGGAATCATATGCCTTTATCATATAAATATTTATTTTATATTCAGTAGTCATTAAATTAAATTCTACCAATAAAATGAAATTATCAATACTAATGGACTTTAAAATTTCGCCTGGGCATTATGTGGCTTAAATTTAACTAACTTAAAAATCGAAATCCATGTTCCTCTTTAAGCGATTCTAAAATTTTCAATGAAAAATTTTCAGGAAAAAAATTTTGCATGCATTTTTAGATATTTTTAGAAAGAATGAAAAATTAAAATTTGAAATAAAATTATAATTCGAAAAACTAAATATAATAAAACTATTATTTAAAAAAAAATATAATTTTTCTAGTGGTGATCGATTTGGCTTGTTTTATTTTTTAAATAGCGCTCACCATTTTTGCTAATTTAGACTCGCTCCAGTGGACTAGAAAAATATGCCAGGAAGTGTTTCTAAGCGATAGAAATTTAGGTGAATCACTAAGGATCGGTTCCTTATTTGTAATTATAATTAAAAATATATTATAAATATAAAAATATATTAAATATTTTATAATTATATTTCATAATTTTATAATATAATTTTATTTGTAATTATAATTAAAAATTTAGCATATTTTCCATTCGTTTTCTTCTTCTTTACTTATTTTATATCATTGATAATGAAAAAAAAAATTATTCCATTTATGGCACAAATTTATTTTTCACCTAAAAACGATTATAAATAATTTATTTTATAAAATATTATTTTCGTTATTAATTTTTAATCGATCTAACTTCTATAATCGTTTTAGCAAATATAAATTTACTTATTTTCTCTATCGATTTTGAAGAAATCAAACGAATTCACCACAAAAATAAACATTTAAATGTTCATAAATAAATAAATTTTCAATATGAAATTCATTTATACGATTAGAAATTTTTCTTACTTTAAATATTTTAAATAAAATAAAAATTTTTAATAAAATAAAAATATTTTAATAAAATAAAAAATTAGAAAAAAAAATGAATAAATTTTGTAAAAAAAAAAAATCATTTTAGATTATAATTTTTGATTTGATTTGGTTGCTATTCGATTCTTTCGTCTTTTAATTCGCTCTCTTATTGATCTAAGTGAATTACAAAAATTTGATTTGGATTTATAATTAAAATTAGCTTAATTAACGATTCATCATATTATTTATTATATTTTTATTGTTAATTTTTATTTAATAAAATTATTTTTTATGTAAAAAATTTATTAATTTTATTTTTTTTATTATTTATTATTTAAGAGCGTTCACCATTTCTGATGAAATTCGTTTCTATAATCATTTTAGTAAATAATAATAAATAAAAATTTTTTATATGAGAAAAATTTGGTGAGAAAAATAGATGAGAAAAATTCCTGTTGAAAAATAGGAATTAAACGAATCAATTTATAACGCCTTTAAATTTCAGCAACTTTTACCACTTTTAATTTATCCACTTATCTAATAGCGTTCGAAAAACCAGTTTATCAATTAATTTTCACGTAAGAAATTCGTCTCAATTTAAGAGAATTATTTTAAAAATTAAATTATAATTAATTTTTCAACAAATAAATAACATATTAAAGAAGAAGAACGAATTAAATTAATGATATTACGCATGATTCAGAATCAATTAAATTGCCTTATAAAGCAGATTGCATGTTATGAAATATTCGTCTCAAATATATACAATTATTATATTTAATTAATAGGAAAAAAATTTGATAATCAATCTTATCAATCAATTGTTTATAAAGTATAATAGTAAGATTTATCTATTTACATTTATCATATCGTATTTATCATAATAATTTTTAGCAGTAAATGAATTAGAATTATCCACTGAAGGAGAATGGATAAATGAAAAATTTTATTTTGTTCTTATTTATTTATTGAGAAAACATTTTAGACGTATAAATGGACCAGCAATATATGGACTTAGACGATGGAAAAAGGAATGGCTTCCATTACTGTCAACGATATCATCAGACCGCGCCGCTTGGAAGCGTCGTTGGAGCAAGCCTAACCAGTAATGATGAGAGCTGTTAGAAGAAGAAGAAGAAGTTGAAGGAGAAAGATCGAGTGGTGTATTATTCTTTGAAAAAAGACTGCGAATCTCTCATCGATATTTATACGGGTTTAGGTTAAATTAGAATGAAATGGCTTTTATACTTATGAAAAAAGGCTTCCTAATATATTTATACGTTTTATATTTGAAATCTACAAAAAACTGAACTAAAAAAGCTTAATGAGGTTTTTTTTTTTATGTGCGAATATGATTGTTATTACCTAAATTACACATGGAATACTTAATGAGGTTTTACATGAGAATGAAATTTATGAACCTTTCAAATATTCTTAAACTTACTCTCATTTAATTTCTTTCATAATTTATTTTCTATTCTACTAAAAGAACTAAAAAAAAAATGGTGTTCGAAAAATTTCGTGGATCCAATTTTTATTTTTAAAGTTAGATTCTCCAGTGAAAAGATCGCATCCTGGTAATGGGAAATGTATGAGCGAAGAAGGATAAGAATAACAAGAATAACAAGAACTATCCAATCGCAAAATCATGCATAAGCATATAATTAAATTATTGTTGTATAAATAAATAAATATTTATAAATATATTTATTTATTATAAATATTATATTTATTATAATAATTATTATATATATATATATATATTAATATTTAGTTAATATTATAATCAATAAATATTTAAAAAATAAAAATAAGCCATAATTATTTAAAATGAAAATGGAAATTTAGAAAAAAAAACGAAAAAAAAAGATATAAAATAAAACTGTTTGCGGTAATTTGTGGAAATAATTATACTCAGTAACTCGGAGTTTTTTTTTTTTTTTTCACAAAATATTTCTATAAAAAAATAAAATTCACTGGAAATTGAACCAAAAGAGAATTGTTGCTACGTAACTGGAAAATTTAAGAAAATAATAATCTGAAAAGCATTCATTTAATTGGTGCTAATTTGGTGTTTTCCACGAATAACGCATCAAATTTACTTATAAAAAATAAATAACTAATATAAATGGTGCTAAAAGAGAAGAAGAAAATTCTATCGAAAAGCTATTAGCTGAGAAAATATTTTTATTATCAAAACAATTATCGCATAAAAAGAAGTAAACAGGAACGGCCATTTTTTGCAAACAATAAAAGAAATTTTTTAACATAAAATGCCATCAAAATACAAAAGGATTCATGAAATTATAAAATATTTATTACGAATATTGTATTGTATTTATTATAATGCTAAAAGGAATAATTCTAAGCATAATTTGATAATACTTGGTTTATGACGGTACGTTTGCGAACGTTTGAGAATGATGATAGGCGATGCCGGTGTTTCTTGAGGTGATATATGGGAGATCAAAGAGTTTTTGCATGGAAGAAAAAGTGTTTTGCAACAGAGAAACTTGATTAGGAATGATAGAAAATTTAGAAGCAATGAACTTATCTAAAAATATTACATTTTTAGATAAGTTACATTTAAATTTGAACCCAGCAATATCTAATGGGCGAAAATTACTAAAACGTATATGGAAAACTAAATTAAGGACTCATGCCTTCATTACTGGTACTATTAATTACTGGAATAAATGCCGAACGATGTAGTTTGTGTGTCATCTTTAGTTCATTTTTAAAAAAAGATTAGATAATATCATCTATGATATTAGATTAAAAGTTCAATTTCCGGTAGTAACATGCTGGAAGTTTGAAATCTTGATTTTTACCATTCGATTATATAAATATATATATAATATATAATAAAGTAATTCAATCGGGAGCGCCGATGTTGAGGTTCGATTCCCTGCAGGAGTAAACCTGTATAAAAATCCAGGTGATGCTGGCGACTCACCTGTATTTCTATCGCCATAGGACTTCCTGATATTGCCCAATTGCGAAAAGCCAGTGGAACGAGTTTTACCAGTAATAATGACAAAGATTCTTTAAAAAATAAAATAATTCAAATTCTAATTGTACTATTTTGTAACTCCTCTTTATTTCCTTTTTACTTCATTAATTTTTGTCATATTTTCTTTTTTTATCAGTAATTTTCATTATTTATTATTTTAACTGTTGTTATTAATATTCTTCTTCTTCTTACAGTTCTCTACTGGTAAGGCGGGCTCCAATGACTACAAGAGGTAAGACGTCGGTCTGATGCCATCGTCGACAGTAATGGAAGCTATTCCTTTTTCCATCATCTAAGTCCATATATTGATGGTCCAGCTATACGTTCAAAATCTTTTCGCACCGTGTCACTCCAGATCTTGATTGGCCCATCTCGCTTTTGATGCCACCCATCACAGGGTTTAGCAAGTAATGAAATATGAGTCAATTCCTGTGATGGACGACGGAGAACGTGCCCTAACCAGCGAAGGCGACGCTCTGTGATAACAGTATTTATGGAAGTGGTATCTGAACGAAGATGGATGAGATCATATGATATGTTATCCGCTCGACGGATCCGTAATATGTACCTTAGACAACAATGGTTAAAGGCAGATAACTTCTTAATATTCTCCACTCGTATTGGCCATGGATCACGGCCATTGGTACTTCGGTCTCCGATGCCTTATTTGCCAATTGTTGAGGTCTCGCAGCGGCATTATAACCTACGCGAGCATTCCGGTCTTCCCCGATTATGACTATGTTATGTTTTGGTAGGAACTTCGTTAGCAATTGAAGTTCCGCATAGAACTTATCTTTACTCCGGTCATCGGCCGACAGAGCTGGAATATAAACACTGATGACCTAGGTATGACATGACATGACCGAGATATTGCAGAACTCTTAAAATGGATACCGCATAGGCCATACGGTCGCTTACCAGTTTCCATTCAATCAAAGCGGAATGGGCCTTGTCAGATATGATAATCGCTATGCCATTTCCTCCCGAGTTATTCGAAGCATCACAGTGATATGCCCAATATCTCTACTCCGAACTAGAAACTCCGAACTAGAATTATTCGAGACCGAAGTGAGGAAGAAGGATCTCCGACAAGCAAGCCATATCCACGCGATATTAAGAAAGGGTGTGGATAGTGATCGCTTGACTTGCAACGTCCATAAGCCTTCCGACGTTCCACGCTGATACGGCTAATACCACGCCGTGCGTGCAGAGGACTTCCCCTTGATAAGTTTCGAGCAATTACCCTGGCTTGCGAGCACATTTTATTTACCAGCATTGGGATCGCTTTAAGCCCGCATGTTATTGTATATTTATACTTATCGCATGTACCGTGGTGGGCGTATCATGCGCGTCGGGAGACGTGAACGCCGTATCAAGTATATCTGATCCTTTTACCATAGAGTCACTTAGGGATAGACCCACAGGTAGGTCGCCAGTAACCACCCAGATTTTTGATATGACAGGTTTACTCATGTCAAAGACAAACATAATTATTTTATATTATTTTATAATATTTTATTATAAATTATTTTACATTATTTTATAATATTATTACAAATTTTATGTATATATATAAATAGATTTATTTCAATCCTTTGTTTGTTTTTTTTTTTATTTTTAAAATAAAGAGAAAAAGATGAACAAAAAGAAAACAAGAAAAGACTTGGCTCGAAGTTGGAAATTTATAGAAAGTTCTAGAAAATATTCCGAAAGAAAATATTGCAGCGGAATAACAATATATTAATTAATATTAATTTATTATTAATTAATATAAGCATATGGTGGTTGCCGCCTTGCTTGGTTGGTTTTCAATAATTAAATAAATTAAAACTTTCACATATCGTCAATCCAATATTGGTGTCGTACTTCTTAACAAATGTAATATAAAAGATTTTCGGTGAATTGGCGACCAATTGTTCACCAAGTTCAAGTCCAAATGACTTAAACATAAATATTTGTGCGAAAATTTTGCAGAAAAAACGAAACATTATTTTGAAAATGTAAGAAAAAAACTGAGTGAATTTTTGCGGTTACCATAAAGATTTCAGTAAATTTTTAATGAATTTTTTAAAATCATTTTTGAAGGAAACGAATAAGTAAATATTTGATTTGTGTTGAAACAATTAATTGGCAAAGATAAAAAATCCAGCGAATAAATGAAGGGAAAAGGACAAAAACATTATTTTTATTATTTTTATTATTTATTTTTTATATAATTGGAAAAAAAAGATACAAATATATTTCATAAAATACGAATGCACAATCAGCGATGTTGAAAATTTTTAACGCAATGTTTGCGAAAATGTTCATATTTTGTAAATTTAAGTTTTTATATAAATGTACAATAAATATTCGTTATTTACAAGTTAGAAGTTTTATAAGTTTTATAAAAATTTGAATTAAACGATGAAATTTAATAATAAAAAATTGAAATAATTCTTAATTATTGTTTCAATATTTTAGATTTATTTCAGAGAAAATTAAAATTCCATCAAAAAATTACATTTCACTTTTTCTTATGAATTTTTTTTTTAATAATTTATGAAAAAATAAACGATTAAAAAAATAGAATGGAAAAAAGTGCTGGGAAAATGCTGCAATTCGTTTAGTTGTAAAAAAAAAAATTTTTTTTCGCAAAATTATATAAAATCTTTTCTATCACTGCACTTCTATTTATGCATTTCTAAAATAAAATAATAAATTTAAAATTAGAAAAAATTAAAATTAGAAAAAAAATGAAAATTCAGAATATATTTGGAGAATTTATTACGAAAAGATTTAAGAAATAAAATATGATTTGCAATAATTTTTTCAAATTTTTCTATTCAGTCGACTTCGGTTTGCAATTTTTTTAACGAATTTTTTTAACGAAATATTCAAATTTTTGAAATTTTAATCGAATTTAATATTCGATTCATTCAGCAAAAAAGAAAAGAATTTTCTAAAAGACGTAGCGTAAAAGCAATAAGTAAAGTGCAGTTTGGGGATAGGATGGCTTAGTGAGTTGTTGCTCAATTCGGAGCGTCGATGCTGAGGCTCGATTCCCCGCAAGGGTAAACCTGTCCAACAATCCGAGTTATGCTGGCGACTCGCCTATATTTCTATCGCTATGGTACTCTCTGGCATATTTGTCCAGTGCGACAAGCCAGCGGAGCGAGTTTAACCAGTAATGGTGAAAACTTTTTTAAAAAAAAAATGCAATTTAGCGAATTTACCAAAAAATTTTTAGTAAATTTTTAGTTTGGCTATAAAATATATTCTTTTTCTATTCTAATTATTCTATAAAATATACAGAATTTTTTTGAGATGGAAAAACGTAAATTAAAAATTAACAAAATTCAGTTTAAAATTTAGAATTTAGAAAGTGATGAAATAAAATTTATTCGACGTTTTCAGTTTTATTAGTTTATAAAATTTTTTAAAATTAAAACATTAAAGATCTGTAAAAAAAAAATTTCTATTGAAGTAAAATTTATTGTTTACACAATAACATCGTAAAATGAAAAATTTTTAGCAACCAAAATGAAAATTTTTTTTCTTAAAAATTCTTTTAAAATAAACTCTTTGAAATTCTTTCAGCAGTAAACTCTTTCGAAAATTTTTCCGTCTATAAATCAACGGAAAAACGGTGAATTTTAAAAGATTTAATACGAGGAATGAAAAAAATTGGATTAATTTTTATGATAAAAATTTGCATAATTCTCGAGAATCGTATTTTCTTGCATCCTATAATGCATTTTCAACTTTTTTTAGTGCACACTGAAAATTAGTAATAATGGTTCCAATGAAAAGCATCTAAGGTGAAATTAAAAATTGTTCGAAAATAATTGGAAAATAATTTTTGAAAAATTTATCATTTATTGCTTAGTACGAAAGATTTTAACCTAAGAGAAAGATAACAATTAGTCATTAACCGGGATAAAAAAATTGTTTTTAAGAACTTATCATTATTAATTATTATGATAAGAGATTTTAGCTGAAGGAAAAGAAATCATTGATAATAAATGATAATATTAATAATATTGATAGTAAAATCATTGAAGAATCATATTTATTTATTGTACTCATCAATTTATTATTTATTAATTAAATAAGTTACTCGACTTTTTTATAATTATATTGATAAAAAAAATGAAATTAAATGGCATTGAGAGCGACAAAAGTTGGAAATATTGCTTTGGCTGAAGAGAAGAGCAAGTAGCAAAATTCCAGTATAGACCCTCATTTCAGTTCAATTTCTTCTCACACCTCATCCTTCAATGAATGGAACCAGTAAAAATTAGAATAACAATATTATTAATTGGTAATAAAATAACTAAATATTCTATTTTTTATTATATTTTATTTTTGCTTCACTTTGCAAAATTATTTTAAAATTAATTTTCTTAGTTATTTAAAATACTATTTGCTTTGTTATTAATTATTATTTATTTATTTATTTAAAAAAAGGAGAAAAATTGTGCATTTTAAGTGAACTTTAGAAGGATCGTAGTTTTCAATAATTTTCCCTGCCATTTGCTATTAGCAAAGAAAAATCCACTTGAAATCCATGGAGATTCTCCAGCGAAAATACAAATCGCCTGTGAAATAAATCAAATTTGAAATAATTAATTATTTTTATCTATTATTTTTAAAATAGCAATTTTTATTATTAAAAAATAGTTTTTCATTCAAAAAAAAACGAAAAAAATTCTTTTAAAAAATTTTTATATATTTCAAAATAATTATTGTTAATTATTAACGTTTAGCTGATTTCATAAATTTTCTAAAAAAAAATATTAGATGACAAGCGATATTGAAAAATTGGTACTACTGAAAGAAGCACGGCCGGCCTTATAATAGTTCGCCACGGGCCGCGAATAGGTTAAGATTATTTGCTAAATTTTTCGGTACTTTTACATTTTTTTTCGAGGGGGAGGGGGGAATTTCTTTTTACTAAAATTAATTTCAAATAAATTTATAAAAAAAAAAAGAATTGAACGGTCGATGTGCAAAATTTTTTCGAACTAATATTTTATAAGAATTACAATTATTTTTTATTGGTTGAAAGATATTTAGTGAAGCCTTGGCCTTGGCTTCGCGAATAGGCTCTTTACCAACCTGCCAAATGGCTTTACAGTAAATGGTATCCAAGAAAGTTATAAATAGTTTGTGTTCTTTCCGTTTTTAATAGTCTTTCGTTAGAAGCACATTTAGCTATAGAAGGCTGAACGGTCTCTCAATAGCATCTCCGAATGACTTGTAATTTTTTTCCCCTTTTTTAGGCGAATATTGTCAAGGAAAAGGCATCGAACCCCATAATCGTTGCCTTTTATCCTCGTCTTCTTATGGTTTATATGGCTTTCATTCCCAGGCAAAAGAAAGCTGCCATAAGAAGACAGAAAACAGTTCTCACAATGAAGTGCGAAGAGGGAGACTATCGTTACGTATCGTTATCGCTGTGCTTTATATCGAATAGTCGGGTCATTTGTCACGGTTAGTTCTTTATTATGTCTTAACATATACCAATACCTATTTCTCATGTAAAGCCTCAGCCTCATGAGATTCTCGGCAATCGAGTTTTATAGAGGGGTTAAAAGGGGTTTTAATAGAAGAGGGGAAAAAAGCCTTAGCTAATTGGGTAATCACACTTTTTTATGTAATATAAGGTTAAGAGGACGAGAGGAATTGCAGTGAGCAATGAGCGAAGGAAGTTTCCGAAATTTGTATTGTTTATTTTACTACCCACTAACTTGGATGAATAAGTATCAGATTTTGCAGAATGTTTGCAAAAAATCTATAAGTGAATAAGTTTATGGCAATAATTTTTTCATGTATTTTAGCGAATGATGTGAAGAAATCTCTGATAGCCGCAATGAATACGATGTGATGAACGGTGGTGGTCAAAAGACGGTATTGGAAATAAATAATGAAAAAAGCCAGAGTAAAAGTTGAGCGCTCGAAAGTAGCATGGTGCTAGAAGTGGATTGACAGAAGAATTTTTTAATAGTAGATTTAATCTTGTTGGGAGCAAAAGCGCCCAGCCGTCACCTTTCTAACACAATAATCTGAGATTATAAGGAATTATATACTTAAAATTTTAGGTTTTTGTCCTGAACAATAAAGAATCAAAAATAATCAAGGATTAAATATATTTGTAAAATTCAAATTGAATTACATTAAAGGCGATAGTTTTTCATCAAATCCTCTCGTTTAAGCGTTAGAAATATCAATTATCAAATATTAATTTAAAATTATCAATTATCTTAGAGTAAATCCTCATCCACCCATTTTTTAAATATTTAAAAAATTTAGAATGATTTTTGGAAACTTTTTGTAATTAATATTATATTATATTTCCAGTTTAAATTATCCATATTCTCACCGATTTTGTTTCATTGGGTTCTATCTATTTTTAATTTTTTCCATCTTTATTTGATTTTTTTTAGCTTTATAATAAAGAATTTTGGTAATCAGTTTGGTGCTATTATCGAACCATCAGCAGCATGAGAGAAAAGCTAGGATAATTTGCTTTGAAGTATCTTTAGAAAGCAAGAAGAAATCAGGACCGAGCACTTTTCGGTTATGTGGGCAGCAATTTCCATTTACTGGTGAATAAATAAGGGATAAAGGAGAAGACGGTATCTCACTGGTTAAATTCGACATTTGTGTAGTAATTGATTAGGTGGTATTTTGATATTAATATTTGATATTTTGGTATTGATGTTGATATTGGTTGATTGATTGGTATTTGTAGATTGGTTGATCAGTTGTTTTATTATTGTGAAAATTTCCTTAATGAGGTTTATATTTCAACGATTCCTTTTTATACTCAGTGGCTTCTTTTGTTAATTTGCAAGTGATAATTTGTTTCCTTATTTGTTTTTTTTTTTTATTTTTCATGCTTTGTAAATTTTTCCATCAATTTTTTCGAAATTTATTTTATATTTCATTTTACTTTATAATTATCGGTTTATTATTTGTAAAAATTTTCGAAGAAAATTCCGTGGAAGTCTAATGAAATGAATTTTTTTTTTTATATATATCGCATAATATATAATCGTTAATTAGTTAATTTATTTATGTGAATTTTAAAATTGCGATTAGAATAGCGAACGGTGAATTTCGAAATTCTATGTAAACTATGGAATTTTCTTAATGTTAATTATAAAAAATAATAAGTTGAGCAAGAAGGGAGTACCATGAATGCAAAAAATAGATTGTTAAGAGAGTGTCAACGATAAAAGCTTAAGTAAAGAACATTTGAAGGAGGGAATCGCACCAGTGCTAATCCCATTCGCATCGAACCATTATATTTTCAGTTATTATAATAATTATTCAAGAAAATGCTTATTTTAATTATTATAGCTTTCCAGAATGTTTCAGTTCATTTGATATTTCATTAGCGACTTACAAGTAATAACAATAGTAGTTATAATTAATAGCAATTTATAGGAAACGATTTTAATATTAAAATCGCGAAATTTATTGGAAAATTTTCTTTTTATTAAAAGAAAAATAACTTAAAATTAACTTTATTATCGGTGACATCGCGTTTTATCGACACAATGGTGACTAAAAGCTCTCTTCCCTCCTTCTTCCTTCCTGTCCACCCCTTTCCCTCCCCCTCCCCATCCTCCTTCCCCTCCCATTCGCTCCACACTTCTGTTACATTTTCTCTAAATTTAATTATAACGTTAGAGAGATTTTTTTTTGTTGATTGTTACTTCATGAATATTTAATTTTTTAGAAAAAAATATTTTTGAAAAATTTATAAAGAATTAATAAAAATAATAAAATTAAGAAAATATCAAAATATTGAAAAGGGATTTGTGGATGAGACTAGTTCCATGAAATATTTTGATATTTTATTAATCTTCATTAGTCTTCGTTCTTCGATCGTTTTTCGTTTATTAATCATTAAACAAGCATATCAAGACGGCTGTCCATATAACCTCCTTGATAATAGTTGATTAGACATCGTGATGGAGCATGGTTGGCCATACACTCTGCTTGATCATGGATGAATATCCGCGTATTCATGGCTGATTGTGTATATCGAATACTTGTTGGTCGTCATAATGCTTCCTGTTTGTTTTAATATAACCTATAAATAATTCTAATTAATTACTATTTATTTTGTATAATTTTGCATAAGTTTAATACCAATGTATAGTTTTTTTTTTAAATTTTCGGTTTTTTTCTAAATTTTTTCGTTAATAAAAAATTTTTAAAAAGATTTTTAAATAAAAATTTTTAAATTTAATTTTTACAACGACGAAAACAAGAAATATTTCCGAACGCTACAACATAAAGTTAATTTTTCGTGTTGAAAATAATTATAAAATATTATTAATTGTTTTATAAATTATTATGAATTTCAATTTCTTACGCAACAATAAAATCTTTTACTGCCATTTTTGTTTATATTTCATGAATATTTTCATTAATTTTATTTTCAATGAAAATAAGTTTATATTCAGTTATCGAAGATTTTTACCGCATAAAAACAAAAAAGTAAATTATAATTTCGCCTTTTAAGAATAAATAAAGGAAAAATAGGAAAAAATCAAATTTAAAAACTATTTCCAATAAAAAAAATTATTTAAAAGCTATTTATAAAAATTATAAAAAATGAAAAATTATCTAAAATTATAATTGAAATTATACAAATTATAAAAATTATTTTGATTAAATTATTTTTGTATTAAATTCAACATAAAAATTTTACAAAAAATTTATCATCTTTATTAGATTTTTTAATTTGCAAATTTTCATACAATTCCAAAATAATTAATTTTCTTTAAGGCTATAATTTTATTAATTATAAATAAGGAAATAATTGACAATTATTTTCCAATTTTTCAAATTTTCGTTGAAATTTTCCGTTTTTTTAAATGAATTTTTATTTAATAAATAAATTTTAATAAATTTAAAATTAATCATTTTTTATTTATTTGAGCTATTTTCAAAAATGATTAATTATAATAAAAATTTAGAACAAAAAAAAACGATTAATTTTAATTGGCAAAAAATAATTTGCTATTAATAGTTTTTTTAAAAATCAAAATAATTATTTGCTAATAATTATATTTTTAATTTTTAAGTTTTAGTTTGGTTTAATTTCACATTTTAGCTTTTAAATTTCGAATTATATTGAAATTTATTGCTAAAATTGGAAATATTTGCGATAATTTTTGTGATAAATTTTTTTCAAAATAAGTTTAAAAAAATTTAAATTTTAATTTAAAAAAATTCATAGAATTATTTTTAAATTTTCTAAAATAAGCAATTCTTAGTAAAATCGAAAAATCTAATTTCTTATCAGTATTTATATCAAAATTATCAAAATTGATTATTTGTCTTACGCGCCTTAGAAGAGTATTATTATAGAGATTATCATGTATTATCAACATAAATAATAGTCGGATCGATGCGTTATCAATTATAAGTAAAATTTATAATTAAAAATGGATCACTATAAATTTATTTCATGAAGAAAAATCTCAAGAATATTTTAAAAGTTTTTTCGATTCACAAAATAATTTCTATATGTTCGATGATAAACACAAAAAGCATTTTATTGTAATTTATTATATTTATTATATTATATTTATTGTAATTTATTATATTATATATGATAGTGATTTATTAAATTTATTGATATTGCGATTACGGTTTTACGATTTTTATTAATTGCCTCATATAAAATGATCGAATGTTTGTATATTACAAAACATTGACATTCACTTTTATTTTCATTATAATTTTTATTATTTTTTGTTATTTTTGTTTATTTTTGTTTAAGAGGCACCACTAGTCGAGTGATTAAATTTTCATGGCAAGCAGCCTGCTTCGACTCTTTTTTTTAAAGAGTCCTCACCATTACTGGTTAAACTCGCTCCACTGGCAATTGAGCAATATACCAGGGAGCTCCATTGGCAATAGAAATACAGGTGAGTCGCTAGCATCACACCGATTTTCGTACAGGTCCACTCTTGTGCGGAATCGAACCCCGGCATCAGCGCTCCCATTTGAATAACAACCCATTGAGCCATTCTATCCCCATTGCAGTCAATGGGCTGCTTCGTCTTATTATATTAATAGCCAGATTCGTTCAATCAGTCAAATACACATTAGCCACTTCTAAATTCTGTTCTAATCATTTTAGTTTCTTTATTGGAAATAACAATTTTAAAGCGAATATTTTGGTTCTATTTCATCGCTTTGAAAACATAAATAATAATAAATAATAGTTTTCTTAAAAATAATAAAAAAAATGATTATAAATATTTTTCCACTTCTTTAATTCACTTAATCGTTTAATAATTTTTTTTTTATTTTTTATAACGAAAAAATCTTTATTATTTAGTTTAACAGTCATTATTATTTGTTATTATTAGAATACATTGGATAATATTGGCGATTTCAATCGCCAAAGGACTCCCTCCCTGGCTTATTTGTCTTGTACGATAAGTCAGTGGAACGAACTGCAACAACGAGTAATGATGAGTGCTCTTAAAATTTTTCACAACTATATAACTATACAACTAACTGCAGTAATGAATAATAATAAGTGTTGCGGCCTTTCTTTTTTTAAAGCAAATAAATAGTTAACACTCATTTCTCGTTCTACTAGCTAAGCTGATTGATAAGACAATTTTACTAGTGATTTAGTCGGGAAGATAGAAGATAGGTTATTCCCAGCATTTTTGCTAGATTTTTTAATGATAACAATTTTTTTCTTGGTTTTTTTTTTCCCAGTATTTCACTAATTTCTCAAGCGTTTTTTTTTTTTTTGCAATAACACTTATAAAATCAATTATAGTAATAGCATTGGCTTTATAGTGGAATAGAATGGCTCAGTGAGTTGTTGCTCGATTGGGAGCGCTGAGGTCCGATTCCCTGCAAGAGTAAACCTGTAAAAAAATCCGGGTGATTTTGGCGACTCACCTGTATTTCTCTCGTCAAGAGATCCTCTAGCATATTATTACTCAATGCGACAAGCCAGTGGAACGAGTTTAACCAGTTTAATGGGTGAGCACTCTTAAAAAAAAAAAAATTGACTTTAGTAGTAATAGTAATAATAGTAACAATAATCTATAGAATCCATAGCAGCTAATATGTGAATCAATGAATAAGTTAGAGGTTTAATAAATATGGTGAAATATTATGAATAAAATGAATAAGTGCCGAGAATTAATTCATGCAAAAGTGGAATTATTGGAGATTATTTGTCTCCGATAAAATTAACCAACTTCATTTTATTGTTATTTTCATTCATTTATTATTTATTATTATTATTTTACATATGAAAAACTATGAAAAAAAAAGGTAAAAAAAAGTAAATATCATACAATTTTCAGTTGAATTAACTACTAATTTGCTTGTGGACGAAATCTTTCTTTCATGAAAGCAGAGATTGCTTTCGTGGTCATTATCAGTTTATCAGAGAGTTTATCAAAGAGTCACTTGGGAATAGAAAAATATAAGGTGAGTTTCTTAGCATTACGCTGAAATTTGTTTATTTTTTTTTACAAAAAAAAAGAAAATATCGCTATATTTTTCAAAATATTCTTTAAAACTACTTTTTTACTTACAATTCAAACATAGTTTTCTTAGCAAATATTTCGTATTTCTTATACATTTAGTCATTTCAATACACTTTACAAATATTATAAATATAACATCGTTGTGTTGGCACTGAATTAAACATTAAACATGTTTTATACTAAGAAAAACGTTAACAATAAACAATAATCATCATTTTCAGGTGTTTTTTTATCTTAAAAATGGATAATTTTCATTAAATCGCCCAAATGAAAATTGCTATTTCATTTCTAATCACTGATAAAGTTTAATCTCTGATAAATCTCTGATATGAGTCGAGAACAGTGTTCGATAGAAATTTGTGAAAATTTACAGAATGCTTCACTAATAATCAGAGGTGCACAATGGTTACAACGTAAGCATTTTTTTTATTCAAGTATTCAAATATTTTTTATTCAAATATTATAAAAATTAATATGAAAACTTAGCGCTATAACGTTTTTAATTATCAAAATTCTGCTATAATCGTAGAAAACTGCCTTTAATTTTGCCTTTGCAATCCTCGTGAAATTTTCGCTATTTCTTTTTCACCATTTCATCAAATTTATTCTAAGAAAAGGAAATTTTATATGGTGAAATACAAATTATATGAAACAAAAAAACTTTTCATTATTATTTCAGATATGGAAACCGTATATCTAGTTTTTCTTATCATTTGCACACTAATTTTCATAGCCATTATCAGTTTATCAGTTGTTCACTTAATAGTAGTATATCGTCGAATTAAAGAAGAAGCTATTCAAAATGATCTATATTTTTTGATATTACTTCTTCCGGTTAATATAAAAATCTAAGTTTTTCATTTTTCATTAGATCAAACCGAAGCAACCAGTCTGATATTCTAAGGTTGGCTAATGTGATAAGCCAATGGGATTTAATGAAAAAGTTAATGATAAAATGATAAACATGATAAAAAAGCGTGAATTATTTAAATGCTATTTATGATTAGAAAGCCTCTGATAAGATTAATTTATTGTTGAGACGATTGCAGATCGTTGGCGGTACTTCTTTAATTGGGCTTTATCTGCCAAGAACTGCTGATTTTATGTTTATCATATCTTTAACGTTAGTAATTTTGTGATTATTCTTTTATTTTACTTTTAATAATTTTAATTTCCCATTTGATTGTAATCGTAGTTGAATGCATTTTCCATCATTGTCATCTTCTAAGCAATTGATGTGGACGATTGTTACAGAACGTCTTTCGCCAATAAGTTACTTGCAATAGAAATCCCCAAAGGAATCAAATCCATGTTACCTGAATTTCATCTCAAGCAACATACCACTCGGTTATCCTGTCTTCCAGCTTTTAAAGCAATAAGTTTAAAAAGAAATAAGTCATTTAAAGCGAAGACGAAAAATATTTCTCAGTTTTAATTTTTGAGTATTTGTAATATTTTTTTTTAGATATCTGATGATGTGTTTGCATAAATTGTTGAATTTAATGCGACATCTTTATGGAAGTAGAAAAGCTATAGCAGAATATATTCAGTCCAGAGGAATGAAACTGAAAATGAATGTACCACCATTATGCTGTTGTTGCAGGTGCTTACCTCAGCTCGAACCGAACGAGTTAGTTTCTAGTTTTTCAGGATAATAGATAAATTGCAAAATTTCCGGTAAAAAAATCGCAACGCAGCTAAAAATTTAGAAGTTAAGTTGTCGATGTTAAAGGACAAGAAAACAATAATTTTAATCAGTTAGTTTTCGCTTAAATTCAATTAAGCTCAAATTTTTTAAAATAACAAAATAATGAATGATAAATAAATAACACAAAAATAAATGATAATGCCTTAAAATTATTTTAAATTATTTTCTTATAAAAATGTCTTTTTAGAATAAAATATTTTTTCATAATTTTAGATTTCTAAAAAATAGCTTTCAGGAAAAATTTACGTTCTATTGAATGGATCGTTTTTCAATCGCCAATAATACGAATTATTATCCAATTTATAATGGTCGTAATTTATGTCGAGCATGTTGAATTTCGATGGTAATAATAATTATTGTAAAAAAAGAAAAAAAAAGTCAATTTATAGAAAAACGAATAACTATGAAGGCATATTTTTTGTCTTCAATCCTCATTAATCAGTGAAAGCTATATTAAAAATGGTCGTTGGTAATAATTTTTGCTAGGTATTAAGTTTCAAAATTACGGAGAAAAATAGTATGATTATTTTTAATTGGCTAAAAATAGTATGATTATTTTTAATTGGCTAAAATTTTTTTTTGAAGTCTCCTCACCATTACTGATTAAACTCGCTCCACTGGCTTGTCGCAATTGAGCAATATGCCAGGTAGTCAGTCCCTTGGCGATAGAAATACAGGTGAGTCGCCAGCATCACACCGATTTTCGTACGAGTTTACTCATGCGGGGAATCGAACTCCAGTATCGGCGCTCCCAACTGAGCATCAACCCACTGAGCTATTCTATCCCCAAGTTTGAAAATGGATTAATCTATTGCAGCATTGTCGTAATTGCAAATGTTTTGCAAGCGATTTCAATGATATTAGCAACATGGGGAGCAAATATATTAATTCTTATTGCACAGGTGATTCTAATGATTATTATTATAAACATTATAAATATGAATATTTTTCTCCTTTAATCAATTATCATTTCCAGTTTTACTTGCTATTAGATAAGATCTATTCGAGACAGAGTCACATAGGAATAGAAATCCAGATGGACAACTACCATCTGGATTTCAATTTTAATGATAAGTTTATTGCCACTAAGATGTAGAAATTGAATATCTTGACTATAATCAGTGTGGCATTTCACTCGACTATCTCAGAATTTTCACCAGATCCAGTAGAGAAATGCAATATTTATTTGGCGAATTTCAACGAGGCCAAAAGTACCAATCCTTCAATTTGTGGTTCTTATAGGAGAAGCTGCGTGAACATAAGTTTTCTGTGATTTTTCGAATCGTGAATTTAACGCAAGTTGGATTCACTCTCCAGAAGCTCATCTTTGATTTAATTGGTAGCTACGCATTTGAATCTGGCCCGATTCTCAGTAATAAATCCAAAGCAATGTGTATGTTTCCATATTTCTTTATTCAATCATAGTAATATAGTATATATAGTAATTTTTAATATATTTAATATATATATTTAATTATATATTAATATATTTAATATATTAATAGAACAATCAATATAATTTTTTTAAAATGATTATTATTGTTTTATATTGTTACATATTATTATTATTTCATTATTTATTATTGTTAATATCATTGTTGTTATCATTAATTATCATTAACTATGAATAGCATTCCGGACATGACTGGAATGTATTTAGACTCCAACTGTAATTGCGAACCGCCAGTCGAATACGAAATAATCTCTACAGTTCGCAACTTTAAGTCTAATAAAACTACAGGAAGAACAGGAAGGTTTGTAAAACTCTAAACGCCTCTTCAAATGCCTCCTTCAGAACACATTTGCAATAATTATATTAGTTGATGTGGGAGAGGAAGCACGGAGCAATGCAATTCTGCTTCTAATTTTCAAGAAAGGGCTTACTGCAACGGCAACTATCGAGTCAACTTCCTCGATGTTGTTGAATAGATTCACGTATCTAACCTGATTTAGGCGTGGTTGACCAAATTTCCATATTAAGAACCTGGAATATCGTTTCGAGAAAGTATCAACCTATCGTTATAAGTAGGCTATCATTACGTGTTTCTTCAACTTTGTTACTGTCGATCAACAAAGCATCATACAATGCGATGGTGTTCCAAAGAAGTTAATCTTAGTCTTATCACAGCATTTTATTAGCACACAGATATATGTGCACGAGGAACTGATTTGATATATGTATCGATGTACATCCACTCTACAATTTTCACGTTGACAAATTGGGTTATGGGCACCTCTCGCCAGCATTCAAGAGATATGCAAATTAATACCGAGCATCACAAAACTTGAATACTCTGATGATGCTGCCTTCGATAATTGGTCTTCAGTTTATTTTATTTAAGCCTATTCTCTGGAAGACTCTATTCATCTTACATACCAGGCTCTGATAAGATCGCAATTCAAATAAATTCATAAACGATGGAAGAAACGTTCGGATTTTAAATATTTCCCATTTTCATATCCAATTGATCGATTGAATTCCAGCTTGGATAACTGCAGCCAGAGGTGCTTTTTTTCTTCTGGTGAAATCACTCCGGAACCGCTGCGAAATCAGTTTTAAAACAAAACAAAAAATTCATATTTATCTGGCTGCGATATTTTTTTATCATAATTCTGCTATGCGGCTATGAAACTTGGGCACTTAAGATATCAGGAAGTTATTTGCCTTGATTAGAGAAGATTTTATACGCAGACATCCATCCAGCGACAGACTTGCTCATATGATACAAAAACGATTTCTTCAATTACATGGCTAATTTTAAGATTGCCATTGGATCGGCAGGCTTGGAAACTTTTCATCTTAGTCGCTAATGGAGCGAGCCAAATTAGGAATGTTGCAAACCAACTAGTAAGAAGAATTTATTATTTATATTATTGTCATTATATTATTATTTATTATTTATTATTACTATATTGTTATTATTAATTATTATTATTAACTTTTAATTATTATTATTACTATATTATTGTGTTTTTCGTTGTTTTGATTATAATTATCATTGTTATTATCATAATTATCTGTTGATATTAACTTAATTTCTATGTCTTACATTTGTGCATTCATTTTATTTATTTCTCATTTGATTTATTGGCTGAATAGTTTATTTTTATATTTTTCTCGTTAATTAATTATTTTTATTTAATTATTTTGTATTTTCAACTGTTCGCTTCAATTGATAATGGAAAATACTTTGTTCATTTATTTTAACTTTAATGAAAACATGAAAATGAAATTTTAAATTTCAGTTTTTTCGACTCGCTTTTTCTTTTTAGTTTTTTTTCCATTATTAGAAAAATTTAAATTCCAAATTTCTATTTTTCAATTTCTTAGATTGGAATGGAGTGGCACTTATTTTCGAGATGTTCATTATGTCAATCGTGGCAACGATTTGTGTGAATCCAGAACGAAGTGCGCTATTTGATGCAAACATCGCTCCGAAACAAACTGATCGTTTGCATATTTCGCCAATAAAAGATCAACGACTTTAACCTCATTTTTATTTTACCTAAATTTTTATAAAATTGAAATGTGTTGAAATTATTTTATTCAGCGATTTGCCAATTGTATAGATCATCGATGATTCTACTTTAAAACCTCAGCGCTGATAAAAGATTTTTTCTCAAAAACCAAGTCTGATTCCTTCCTATTCGACGTTAAAAGAAAGAGAAAAATTTTCCAAAGATTCATTTAGGAATAGGAGCGTAGATAGTTTTTCAGCGCCATCCGTATTTTCTTTTTGGGAGAGACGAAGCTCAACCATATTCTTGAAATAACATGGAATACTCCGTCATTTTTGGTATAATCTAATTTTCTAGATTTTCGCATATTTGCAGATTTTCTTTGCCATATCAGTTATATCGCCATACTGTTTCTCCACTAATTATTTGCCCTTATTGAGCTTATAACTTTTATTTCTTTTTATTTCCATTAGTCAATAGTAATTAAATACCAATGCTGGTTAAGAGATATGATAATTGATAGGTTTATATATGATAAACAATAACAATATTGATCATGTTTTCGACTTGGATCTATTTACTAGTTTAGAATAAAAAAGATTTCATCTTATAACGACATTCAACATTCCTGGTATGGCTATCTGTTACAGCTATCTACTATTATGCATGGGATCGTTTTTTCAAGAGCCCTCGTCACTGATGGTTAGATTCGCTGGCTTGTAAATTAGCATGCTAGGGAGTCCCTTGGGATAAAAGTGCAAGTAAGTCACCAGCATCATCCGCATTTTTGGGCACGTTTACTCCAGCATGGAATAGAATCGGATCCTAGAAACAACAACCCACTGAGTCATTCTATTCCTATGCATTAGATATATACTAAGAAAATTACTTTGGAAAAGAAGTGCAAAAATAGGATCAGTTGTCAAAGCTTCAAAGTTTTTTGTTTGCACTGACTGTTATGCATGACATACGTAATTAGTATAGCTATTACGTATAGTGCGTATAAAATGTAAATATCACGTTCACCGGAATTGAGATGTGTTGCTATACTTTGGAGTGATACGATACCTCCTAGCAAGCGATAACCTCGATTATCGCAAGATTTTGTTCGTTGATATTTGGAAGAAAATGCAGATTTTCCGGTATTTTGAACAGTTGATTATTATTATTTGATTATTATTTGGTTGGGGATAGAATGGCTCAGTGGGTTCGATCCCCCAGATTTCCCACAGGAGTAAACCAGTACAAAAATACGGACAATGCTGGCGACTCGCCTGTATTTAACGGCAAGGGATCCCTGGCATATTGCGACAAGCCAGTGGAGAGAGTTTAACCAGTAATGGTGATTATCATTTGGATTATCTTCTCTAAAAACATCGTCGTTAGTTGATAATGAAATTCATGGGCGTCAAGTGAGTCAAGAAAAATGAGTAGAGAAGTTTGAGTAGAGAAGAGAAATTCTTTACGATAGATGTTTACTTTTCTTTGGCTCGCCCTCTTCTTCATTGCGGATGTTTTCAGTCTGATAACAATCTACAGTTTATTTTTTCATTCATTTACCAAGCAGGGCGGGATTGATGGGAAAATTGTAAGACACAATAGAAGCTATAAATAATTTCATTCTTAAAACAATCGATACGAAAAATGATAACGCTTATCAGAACAAAAACATTTTCCATGCAAGGAAAGAATAAAATAAACCTTAGATGAACAAAAGAAAATTTCTTTTCTCCACTCGTAGCAAACAAAATCAGCGCGATCACGGTGCGTGCTTCCAACTTTTAATGGAGAACAGGAATACTTCGGACCAGCGGTTCCGAAACAATCGCCTAACCAAGTGTAGAACGAGTGACATAATATTAGTAATATAAGGTGGGGACATTAGACAAAGAAAACAAATCGTTTGATCCTTGAAAAGTAAAGCACCATAAAATTCTCCGCGTTATTCGTGGTGTCTTATTTTCGCACCGCATATTTTCGCTCGAAAAAAAGTAATTGATT